TTGACCAGGATGGTCTCGATCTCTTGACCTCGTGATCCACCCGCCTCGGCCTCCCAAAGTGCTGGGATTACAGGCTTGAGCCACCGCGCCCGGCCAAAATTATGGTTTTTTAAAGAAAAGTTTTAACATTATAAACAGATCTTTATACACAATTTTATTCACCATTTCTTTAAACAAATTCAATCCAGGTTTATTTACTTAGTTACAAACGACAGAAAAAAATCTGGGCTGGGCACAGTGGCTCTAAGACCAGCACTTAGTGTGGATTGCTAGAGCCCATGAGTTGGAGACCACCTGGGCAACAAAGCAAGACCCTATCTTTTATAAGAAAATAGAAAAATTAAAAAAAAAATTTCCACTTAGGATCTTGAAAGTCAAAATAAATGGAAAGTATCTAGGATAGATTGACAAAAGAAAGGAGTAACAACAAAATGATGATCAATTTGACGAACAAAGAAATGACAATCTTAGGCCGGGTACAGTGGTTCACGCCTGTAATCCCAGCACTTTGGGAAGCTGAGGTGGGCAGATCACAAGATCAAGAGCTCGAGACCAGTCTGGCCAACATAGTGAAACCCCCTCTCTACTAAAAGTACAAAAAATTAGCTGGGCATGGTGACGGGCACCTTAATCCCAGCTACTTGGGAGGCTGAGGCAGGATAATCACTTGAAGCTGGGAGGCAGAGGTTGCAGTGAGCTGAGATTGCGCCATTGCACTCTAGCCCAGGTGACAGTGCAAGACTGTCTCAAAAAAAAGAAAGAAACCATAATCTTCATACACCAAAAAACAAAAACAAAACAGATTTGTAGTAAGAAAGGTGGCGACTTATAAAGGAATCTTGAGACAAACACTACGTTAACAATGCTATAGTTACAAAAAGCAAGAACAGATCTGCCAAGCATTTTTCTTTGAAACAAAATCTGAAGATCATAAAGAGATATTTATTTAGTCCACAGGAAAAATGTTATTTCTACAATGTTACGTAATACGAAAATTTATAATTAAAATATAACACTGCTCTCTTCTTCAAAGAAAAGTTGGATGACTGGCCAGGCGCAGTGGCTCATGCCTGTAATCACAGCACTCTGGGAGGCCAAGGTGGCCAGATTACCTGAAGTTAGGAGTTCGAGACCAGCCTGGCCAACGTGGTGAAACTCTGTCTCTACTAAAAATACAAAAATTAGCCTGGCGTGGTGGCGCATGCCTGTAATGCCAGCTACTCAGAAGGCTGAGGCAGGAGAATCTCTTGAACCCCGGAGGCAGAGGTTGCAAAAAAAAGAAAGAAAAGAACAGTTGGATGACTGTTCTGAATGACTTAAAAGCTACCTGCCTACCAGTCGAAGGGTGACCTGAAACTCTCTGGAAGCATCCTGCATTTCTGTAACTTGCAGCAGCGAGTATCACATACACAACTGTCCAAGAAAGAGAGGATTTTGAATGTTCCCAATATAGATAAAAGATCAATGTTTGAGATGATATGCTAATTACCCTGATCATTGCATATTGCATATATGCATCGAAATATTACTCTGCATCCCATAAACTTGTACAATTATAATGTGTCTACTAAAAGATGTTAGTTCACGTACAGAAAGAAGGTGAAATATACATGAAAAGTTTAAATAATAACGGGTACAGAAAATGGGATTTTGGAGAAACTTCTCTTTCTATATCACGTATTTCTATAATGTATGAATTTAGTACAACTGTAGGTAGATTATTTTATTTATGTTTTAATTTTTGTTGAGAAGGAGTCTGGCTCTGTTGCCCAGGTTGGAGTGCAGTGGCGCGATCTTGGTTCACTACAATCTCCACCTCCTGGGTTCAAGTGATCCTCCTGCCCCAGCCTCCTGAGTAGCTGGGATTACAGGTGCTCACCACCATGGCAGGCTAATTTTTGTATTCACATTGCTTATAATCAGAACTGAGGTTTAAATACATAGTTTTGCATTTTAGTAACAAAAATGATTCTAGATAAAGTTCCGTAATAGCCAGGCATTATAATTTTTATTAGGAGTAAAAATAATAATAAATATGAATTACTTACTGAATGCCTGCTACATGCCAGATGCCTTATGTTTCAACTTAACCATACCACTATAAGGTAGGTTTTATTATGTTTGATTCATAAATGAAGAAACTTGCACCTCAAGGTTCAGGGAGGCTAAGTAATTTTAAAAAGATCACAATGAAGGATACAACTGAACCTCAAAGTTTAGTATGTTTGATTCCAAAAATTGCTCACTTTTTACAATGTCATATTGTTTTCCATATTTCTTATAAAACAGTATGGCATAACAGAGTTTCAGGGTATATGCTAATAAACAATTTTTGGGGAAAAAAATCACAATTGTTTATTTTTTTCCTAATTTTTTTGAGACAGGGTCTTTGTTACCCAGGTTGGAACGCAGTAGCACAATCATAGGTCACTGCAACACGGACCAGGCTCAAGTGATCCTCCCACCTCAGCCTCCCAAGTAGCTAGGACCACAGGCACGTCCCACCACAGCTGGCTAAATTTTTTTCTTTTTCTTTCTTTTTCAGATGGAGTTTCGGTCTTCTTGCCAAGGCTCGAGTGCAATGGCAAGATCTTGGCTCACTACAACCTCTGCCTCCCAGGTTCAAGCGACTCTCCTCCCTCAGCTTCCCGAGTAGCTGGGATTACAGGCATGCACCACTACGATCGGCTAATTTTGTATTTTTAGTAGAGATGAGGTTTCTCCATGTTGGTCAGGCTGGTCTTGAACTCCTGACCTCAGGTGATCCACATGCCTCAGCCTCCCAAAGTGCTGGGATTACAGGCATGAGCCACTGTGCTTGGGCACCTGGCTAATTTTTATTTTTAAATTTGTAGGGATGGGGTCTCACTATGTTGCTCAGGCTGGTCTTTAACTCCTGGTCTCAAGCAATCTTCCCACCTCAGCCTCCCAAAGTGTGGGATTATAGGTGTGAGGTACTACACACCTGGCTTTTACTTTATAAAGAAAACTACATTAATAGATGTTGTGACTTTACTAATAGCCTGCATTTTTGTGGAAAATTCATCCAAAGTGTTTAGATGGAAAAACTAGATATTGTGAACAACTTCTATTTAGTAGATTTCCTTCATATACCCAACAAGATGCTGTTTACTATGTGTGATGCACTTTTCAATTTTCATTTATTATTCATCATTTGTCAGTTAGCAATGTTTAGAATCGTAATTCTATACATAAAGGGTGCAAGACAAGTTCCTTACATAGTATCAACTGTAATCCTGCTGAGAAAACTTATTTAAAAAAACATATACAAACTATAAGCTAAGGCAGTATGTACAATCAACAAAACAAATAGATTACTTCAAAGTTGGATTTTTGGGCTGGGTGCAATGGCTTATGACTGTAATCCCAGTACTTTGGGAGGCCAAGGCAGGCAGATCATTTGAGGTCAGGAGTTCGAGACCAGCCTGGCCAACATGGTGAAACCCTGTCTCTACTAAAAATACAATAAAAATTAGCTGGGTGTGATGGCTCATCCAGCTTCTGGGGAAGGCTGAGGCAGGAGAATTGCTTGATCTGGGAGGCTGAGGTTGCAGTGAGCCAAGATCTCTGGCACTGCACTCCAGTCTGGGCAACAGAGTAAGACACTGTCTCAAAAAAGAAAAAAAAAAAAA